AAGGAGTGGACTGAGGCTGGAGTCAGTGCATCAAGAGCCACCACACACAGATGGATCCTGGACATGGGCTTCAAATGTTGTATTCCTCTTGTCAAGCCGCTCCTGAACAACAAACAACGTCAGAAGCGTCTTACTTGGGCTAAAGAAAAACAGACCTGGTCTGTGGCTCAGTGGTCCAAAGTCCTCTTTTCTGATGAGAGCAACTTTTGCATCTCATTTGTAAACCAAGGACCCAGAGTATGGAGAAAGAATGGTGAGGCACACACTGCAAGATGCTTGAGGCCCAGTGTGAAGTTTCCACAGTCTGTGTTGATTTGCGGAGCCATGTTATCTGCTGGTGTTGGTCCACTGTGCTTTATTAAGTCCAGGGTCAATGCAGCCATCTACCAAGAGATTTTGGAGCACTTCATGCTTCCTTCCGCAGACGAGCTTTATGGGGATGCTGACTTCATTCTCCAGCAGGACTTGGCACCTGCCCACACTGCCAAAAGCTCTAAAACCTGGTTCAATGACCGTGGGATTACTGTGCTTGATTGGCAAGCAAACTCGCCTGACCTGAACATCATAGAGAATCTATGGGGCATTGCCAAGAGAAAGATGAGAGACACAAGACCGAACAATGCAGAAGAGCTGAAGGCCGCTATTGAAGCATCCTGGTCTTCCATAACACCTCAGCAGTGCCACAGGCTCATAGCTTCCATGCCACGCCGCTTTGAGGCAGTAATTGCTGCAAAAGGGGCCCAAACCAAGTACTGAGTACATATGCATGCTTATACTTTTCAGAGGTCCGATATTGTTCTATGTACAATCCTTGTTTTATTGATTGCATGTAATATTCTAATTTTCTAAGATTGTGGATTTGGGGTTTTCATGAGCTGTAAGCCATAATCATCACAATTATGACAAATCACGGCTGAACTATCTTGCTTTGCATGTAATGAGCCTATCTCATATATTAGTTTCACCTTTTAAGTTGCATTACTGAAATAAATGAACTTTTGCAAAATATTCAACTTTTTCGAGTTTCACCTGTATGCCAATATGAGAGCTTAAAAAAAGCATTTTTAAGAGTTCTACTGAGTGGTCAACGCAAAAAAAAATATCTTAATTTGTTAGTCTGCAAAATGAATACCATGTAAAGTATACGTTTGCCAAGTAATTTAAACTGTAAACATTCAACAGAGAAAAAAAAATGTGAGAAACTAGGTTCTAAAAGTCCACAATCTGTTGCTTTGTCCTTCCTTTCACATTTTTCAACTGTGTTTACCTGTTGCCTGGCGTTCTACTGTAAGGTATCCAGAAATCAGGTAAACATGCTCTAAACCTCTGGTGCCCAACTTGCAGCCCTTTGGTATATGATGTGCGGCCCTCAGACTTCAGCAGTCTGTAGAGGAAACATTGATGAAGGTAATAGCATTGATCTCTACTAGCCTTATGTAACACATCTCCAGTTTCACATTGTCTTCTGCAACACATCCCCAGTCAAAAATGTAACATGTCCACACTCTCTGACCCTCATTTCCTCTATTAGGTCTGCAGTTTCCAATAGTCCTCTCAAGCATTACAGACAGTATATTGAACATTATGGGCAGCCCATTGTTGATGTAAGGGGCTGTTTTTCAGTCCCTCTTTAGCTCATCAGTTGACAACAACTATGATGTGCGGCCCCTCAGACTTCAGCAGTCTGTAGAGGAAACATTGGTGAGGGTAATAGCATTGATCTCTACTAGCCTTATGTAACACATTTCCAGTTTTAACACATCCCCAGTCAAAAATGTAACATGTTCTCTGACCCTCATTTCCTCTATTAGGTCTGCAGTTTCCAATAGTCCTCTCAAGCATTACAGACAGTATATTGAACATTATGGGCAGCCCATTGTTGATGTAAGGGGCTGTTTTTCAGTCCCTCATCAGTTGACAACAACTATGATGTGCGGCCCCTCAGACTTCAGCAGTCTGTAGAGGAAACATTGGTGAGGGTAATAGCATTGATCTCTACTAGCCTTATGTAACATGTTTCCAGTTTTACATCGTTTTCTGCAACACATCCGCAGTCAAAAATGTAACATGTCCACACTCTCTAACCTTCATTTCCTCTATTAGGTCTGCAGTTTCCAATAGTTGTCTCAAGCATTACAGACAGTATATTGAACATGATAGGCAGCCCATTGTTGATGTAAGGGGCTGTTTTTCAGCCCTTCTTTAGTTCATAAGTTGACAACAACTGCTCTAAATCTTACAGTCTCAACAGGTTTGGGCAATGTTGAGATCTTTAAATTGTATACCCCCTCTCAGTGTCATACTGTCCTGTCCCTGATCACTGAGATCTTGGCTACGCAGCCTCTGTTGGAGATGAAGAAACATTGAAGAGTGCATAATAAGGCCTGATGCTGAAGGACCCAACAGAAGACTGGGAAAAACCCAAGGAGGTCACACATCTAACATCTTGGTGGATTGGAGACTATTGTGGATTGGAGACCTCGATCCCCTCATGTTTTGCATTGTATTGGTATTGTTCTGTCACATGTTCTGTCCCCCTTTGTAATGTACAGTGCTGAGCGAACCATTGGCGCTTTATAAATACTGTATAATAATAATAATTGTACAGATTACCAAAAAAGGTGTAACTGCACTAAGAATGCAGTTATACTTTAAGCCTTGTCACAGATATCTTCAGATAAACCCAGGAACAGATAGACTATTGTTCCCTTTAGATAAGAATGATTTCAAGGTTATCTGCTGAGCACATAGACATACACATTTAGATAATTATGTACTTTTAGGAGAACAATATATCATGCAGCACCTTTTATCTTAAAAATATTCTTAACATTTTTCTTTAGGGCCCATTCACACCATGTGGAACACATGTGGCATTACCCAATGCAGTCCAAATTCATAGAAAAGACAATTTGCATTGAGTCCCCTGAGTACAGTAACCGTGTGCACTGAAAAAAGTAGGATGTGCTCTGGGGAGGAATGACAACTCATGGGGCCCCCGGGCAATAGGGGATCATGGGGCCCTTGTGTCCTTGACCACACTCAAAGCACACCCAAAAAAGCCTATAAAAGGTACAAGGGGCATTTCATGGGGCCCCCTACTGACCCTGGGCAGTGCCCGAGTGCTCTAATGGTCAGTCCGACCCTGGATGTGCTGCATTTTTACATAGCACAGTGTGTTGCATCGTGCTACACTGCAAAGCAACATACTGCAGTAAATTTAAATGAATGAATGTAATTTTGTAGCATTTAAAAAAAAATAATAAAAAAGAAAACAATTAAAATGCAATGATTTATTTCCGTTCATCAGAACAGCTCGCAGCAGATGTGTTATATCATGGCCACTGGTGTGAACAGTGACCACCTTTCTGAGAAGCTCTACGGCACATGGTCCATAAATATAACAGTATTGTACTGTTAAAGATGATTTTTCATCTTGTTTTCCAGTGCATGCAGCTTGCTCTTCGCTCTCTTATGAATTATTCATTAGTGAACAACTTTACTGAGGGTAACCAAAGAAATCTACACGCAAAAAAAACATATGACTGATAGTTATGGAGTTAAAGTAAGGTACATTAAGTGCAAAACCTACAAAATATCAGCAGCAAACTGAATTTAGATATCAAAGTCTACAGAGATCATAATCTAGTAACTGAAAATACAGTAAAAAAATGCAAAAGCAAAAAAAAGCCCAAAGCATATCAGTGTTAATTACAGAGGAAAATTGAATAGATGTGGAGGTAGGAATCATTCAATAGAGTGCTGCTGGTCCCGTACTAGGATTACTATACTGAAAACTAATAAAGAAAAGTCAGACTTAAAAGTATACTCCAGTCAAATGTGAAAATGAAACTTTGAAATTAATACAACGAATGCAGCCTACCTGCTCAGTGCTTCTGGATTTCATCCAGGCATAACTGGGATGCCTAGTCCACTATACTCCATTTAGTGGGAAGTTGGGTAATCCTGGAACATACCTGCTTGCAATACTAGAAACTCACTGGAACTCCCTGCTGCCAACACACAAAAAGCCTGATGTGCAGGCTGAATGCAGGGGATTACAGAGTACACATTTGTGTAAATTGAATGAGCTTTCTGATGATGATCACAGTTGCAGTGTTTACTGGCTACAATAGCCGTGGAAAGATGTATTGCAATACAGTTTGCATTGCAATACATCTAATGGATCACAGAGGAGACATGCAGAGTCTTTTAGAACCTGCAAGTCTCAATAAAGAAAACCTGTCATCAAAAAATCATCACATAGGGAACTTTGTGTCCCCATGTGATGAAAAAAAGTTAGGTAAAACAAAAATGTGTTTTTTTTTTGTAAAAAATAAAGTTACACCCAAGCACAGAACATCTCCCCCCAAAAAATGTTGAGGCCCCCCCACCCATACATATATGCACGTACGAACTTAAACGCACATGGGACTCCCAACATCGATTGTGATATACATGTTACATATCGCTGTGCACGCTGGAGTGAGAGCAATAATTCTAGCAACAGACCTCCTCTGTAATGCTAAACTGATGACCTATAGGGGCTTTTGAAGCATCTTCTATAAAAAATATAGGGTACTGAAGTTTGATACATTTTCATAGGGACACACCAATTTAAGGTTTGGCATGTTGGGTATCTATTTACTCGGACATATTTTACCAAAAATTATTTTGCCCTAAAATTCACTTTAGTAAATTTAGTGAAATTTTGCATTTCCTAGACCTTTGCAATAATATTGTGTGACGTAAAATTTGGAACTAACACTATTTTATTCTGTAGGGCACAGGTGTCAAACACAAGGCCCGAGGGCCGAATCCGGCCCTCCGGGCCATTTCATGTGGCCCTTGCACGCAGTGGTGTATTCTGGTTTTGTGCTGCCCTAGGCAAGACTAAAATCGGACACCCCCGATCTAAATTTGTCCCACCCCTTCCTGTTTAAGATCCACCCCTTCATCTGTAAACTCCACCCCTTCCTGTTAGAGCCCTGCCCACTGACGATGGGGCGCTATTCCTCCCACTGATACCAATGATGGGGCACTATTCCTTCCACTGACACCACTAGTGGGGCACTATTCCTCCCACTAACACCAATGATGGGGCACTATTCCTCCCACTGACGCCAATAATGGGGCAATATTCCTCCCACTGACACCAATGATGGGGCACTATTCCTCCCACTGACACCAATGATGGGGCGCTATTCCTTCCACTGACACCAATGATGGGGCACTATTCCTCCCACTAACACCAATGATGGGGCACTATTCCTCCCACTGACGCCAATAATGGGGCAATATTCCTCCCACTGACACCAATGATGGGGCACTATTCCTCCCAGTGGGAATAGTGCCCCATCATTGGTGTCAGTGGGGGAAGGAATAGTGTCCCATCATTGGTGTCAGTGGGAGGAATAGTGTCCCATCATTGGTGTCAGTGGGAGGAATAGTGCCCCATCATTGGTGTCAGTGGGAGGAATATTGCCCCATCGTTGGTGTCAGTGGGAGGAATAGTGCCCCATCATTGATGTCAGTGGAAAGAATAGTGCCTCATCATTGGTATCAGTGGAAGGAATAGTGCTCCATCATTGGTATCAGTGGGAGGAATAGTACCCCCATCATTGGTGCTCCGCCTCCTCGCCAGTAATTGGCCGCCTGTGTGCCTTTCCTGAGCTACAGTTCCGTCGTCCAATCACCGTTGAGGAGGCGGAGCTTGCAGAGGGAGGGACAAGCTGCCATAGGCTGTTGAGTGATCCTGGGGGTGTGGCCAGATGACAGGGGCGCATGTCATCCCACCCACACATTGCGATCCAGGGAAATGATGACACCGGACCTGCTGACCTGACAGCCTCTCTACCCCTCCACCAGCAGCGCCTCGTGGACCAGATCTACATGGGACTGGGACATGGAGTCGCGGACCCAGGTAAGATACAGCAGCCAGCCCCTGTACTAAGTGTCCTTGCTTTCAGAAAATATATAAGTTTTGGGGTATTTGTAATCTTCAGGCCTAAAATAATTTTTTAAACGTGTGCAAAAAATCAAAAAAATGCAAAAATGGCTCTGGCAGTGAAAGGGTAAATTTATAAATGGCTTCCTAATTCTCCCCCATGGCAGGTAGATGTTCAGGTTGAATTAGAGTGGTTTGATGGATGAAAACCAGAACCAGAACACCAAAGCATACAGACTCTAGTGGTAAAAATCTGATGTTGTTTGCCATGTAAATGTCGGCATATTTTAAAGATGTATTTTTTTAAACTGGATAAACTTACATTTTGGGTTTAGGTGTAAAATGGTGAACTATTTAATCTTTGAAGCTGTTTTTGCTCCTGGTTAAATGTCAACATGAAAAGGTTTTATCATTACTTACTTCATTTATGTGGAAGTACATTCTGACCATGTGCTGCACTTCTGAGTTTTCTACACTGTAGGTTTAGTGCATGACCTTTCTTTTTCTTTCTCTGCCCTTTAATACACTCCCAAGAGCAAAAAAAAAACAAAACCATGCAACCACATCAAAGATAAGCATGTATCACACACACACAAATCTTCAGAAAGCGAATGTCTATGCAGCAGCTGTCTTGCTTCAAAGACCAAATCTGCTGTATACACAAGTGAGGTTACTAAAAGACTAAATAATTACATAAATACTATCATTTCAAAAGACATAACATGTTGGATTTAAAATAATTGTCAGAAAACTAATTCTGGTAAACAAACAAAAAAAGCTTACAGGAAAAGCATTGCTTATAATGGTAATAATCCCAAAAACAAAAATCCTTACCTATCCTACCAATCCTTAAAGTGATTGTAAAGGTAGATTTTTTTTTTTTAATAACAAACATGTCCTACTTACTCATACTGTGAGCTGCCCCAATCCTTCTCTCTCCAGTCCCCTGCCGACACTCCTGGCCCCTCCCTCCTGTCAAGTGCCCCCACAGCAAGCAAATTGCTTTGGGGGCACCCAAGAAAGCTTGCTACTGATCCACTGCTCTGTGTGTCCATTCACACAAAGATGCGGCTCGGCCCCGCCCCCCACTCTCTCATTGGCTTACTGGCTGTGATTGACAGTAGCAGGAGCCACGGCTTCCGGCTGCTGTCTCAGCCAATCAGGAGGTAGGGACCCGACCCAGGCAGGGGCAGACTGACCATTTGGAAACTCAGGTCAGTAGGGGGCCCATAAGATGCCCCTGGTAACTTTTTCAAAGGCTTTTCTGAGTTTGGGCAAGGACACAGGGGCCCCATGATCCCCTATTGCCCAGGGGCCCCATGAGTTGTCAGTCTGCCCCTGTACCCGGGACAACCAAAGCTCTTGTGCACATTGCTGGATCAAAATGGGGCTCAGATAAGTATTGGGGGCACTTGCACGGGGGGGAGGTGCATGAAGGTAAAAAAAAAAAAAAAAACTTGAGCCTTTACAACCACTTGAGCCTTTACAGCCAATGTGTTAGCTGCATCTTTTTTTTTTTTAGGCCCTCTGTTCTGGCCAGTAACATTCCTCCTGTTCACACCTAAGCATTTTGCGGTGTGTTTTGCATTTTGCAGAAACGCACTACAGTCCATTCAACATGATTTCCTATGCAACACGTTCACATCTCCGTATTTTCACCCGGTATGTTTTTTGGAAAGGTTCAGGGAATTTTTTTCAATGCAAAATGTTGCATTTTTGCTGCAATAGACTTCAATGGAGACGCTGCAGAAATGCATGTAGTGCGTTTTAGATGCATTTTTTTTTAATCTGCCCAGCAACAAGTTGGAGAAAAAAACGCAAAACACATCAAAAAAGCATCAAGAACACACCGCAAAAAGCACTTAAAAAATGGATCAAATGCAAACTGCATAGGTGTGAACCTAGCCTTAGGATGTCTCCAATCCACTGAAGGGGCAGTGGAGATACCTTTGGAGAAGAGCATTGTCAGCCTGGGGAGAGGATAGTGTTAGATGCACCATCAGATTTAGATGGGCTAACAAAGTTGAACTCTAGCTAGCACTTTTTTTAAGCAAAAATCATAACGGATTGGCCCTCCTCTATGATTAAGCCCAGTGTGGGTGAAACATATCAAATGGGGCATGGCCAATGGGCTGGGTTCTGAGCTGAAGCCAGATTTAAGAAGTCACACTAATAGTTTTAGTTTTCTCTGGAGAAAATACATAACAAAAGCTGACCACTGTAAGCACCCCTGTTAGTGACAAATGGTTTGCTTTTGTAGAACAACTTGGTTTGTTACAGGAAGCTGAAAAACAACAGACTTACTGGCTGGATCAACAAGTGAAAATAAAGGGAAAATAGCCTAAAAATAACTGCAGCTGCTATATATAAGAACTGGTATGCTGCAACATATTTATAATATAATATATTTTTGTTTTCCCATTTAATACTGCTTCAGGGGTTCCTATTGAAAGAGTTAACTAACATAAACTATGCTTGCAGGAAAGAATTTCACAATGGCATGATCATAGCAGCCGCTACAGCTCAGAACTTCGAGATTTCAAGAACCAGGTACTGAAAATGTTGGAAAACATAGAAAAAGAGAGAGAAGCAGTGAGGAACGAGGTGGAGAACACAAATGTTCGCGTTGACCGGTTAGAGAGAGAGGTGGACTACTTGGAAACTCAAAATCCAGCACCACCATGTGTTGAAATAGATGAAAAACTGACAGAACTACTTGTGAACAAGAAGAAGAAAAATGAAAAATATGAGAAACTCACAGGTATATATATTTATTTTGTATTTAGAAATGCTATATAGGTAGCTGTGCAAATATTCCTTTGTTTGGGGACTAAAAAATAAATAAATATGATTTTAAAAGTGTATCTCAAGCCAAACCTTGTAAATAGGCAATGCTATTGTCTTTATTTTTTTTTTTGCTGTCCCATTCAGGAGACACAACAGAAAGTGAGTTACAATCTCTCTAAAGTTAGGCATAATCCCCTCTTAAACAGTTGTCAACAGGAGAGTGGTCCAAATTGGAAGATTTCCCCTTTATTCCAACTGTAGAATTTCAAAATTCCCTGTAATGCATGTGTCCTCACCAGCATGCTACATCACTGCCAGTGTGACCTGAATGTTCACATCCTTGATGAGAATGTTTAAAGTGTTACTAAACCCACAACAGTAAAATCAGTCTGTATATGCAGTAAAGCATGCTGGTTATACTCACTGTGGAACCTAAGGGGTTAATCCTCCGCATTGTTTAAAAAGGACGTTTGATCCTGTTTTCTCTGATCCTCCTCTTGTTCAAATGTCTACCTGATAAGACAGACTGAACTGTAGCCACATGCACATGCTCAGTTTAGTGTGTATTGCTAGAGAGGTTTTTTTTCTTGGGAGAGTGCATGTGATCCGCACAGGGCCAATCAGCACTGTTCAGACAGAGTGTTAGGGGTTTTGCATCTTCCTAGAGAGAAAGAAAACTCCTCCTACAAGCTTTAGCCAGTGCTCTGCTGAAGTCACAGTTCATAGCACATTTTAGTTTTGTGTCATGATAAACTAAGTGCAAATTAAAGTGTTACTAAACCCACAACAGTAAAATCAGTCTGTATATGCTGTAAAGCATGCTTGTTATACTCACCGAGGAACCTAAGGAGTTAATCCTCTGCATTGTGTATAAAGGCTGTTTGATCCTGTCTTCCCTGATCCTTCCCTTCTTCTACTGTCCCAAATCCATCTGCTGATAGAACAGAGCCTTGGAGGCAAGCTGCACATGCTCAGTTTGGTTTACATTGCATGAGGTTTTTTTTTTCTTGGGAGAGTGCATGTGATCACCATAGGGCCAATCAGCGCTGTCCAGACAGAGGGTCAGGGGTCCTGCAGTCTCATGGGACAATCAGGGGAGAATGAAAACTCCTCCTACAAGCTGCAACCAGTGCTCTGCTGGACACTGATAGAAGTCACAAGACTGCTCTAACTGCTGATGAGAAAAGGTATTTAGCAGTTTATATGTACTAAAATAATTGCATTTCCATGTTGTGTGTACTGTCGGAGACCAGGTATAGTGAGTGCAGGGTCCTGGGTTTAGTAACACTTTAAGTTTCCATACTCCATTGCTGTTTGTTGTGTAACTTTGTGCTGATGCTTTCATGCAACTGGTTGATCTGTTTATGTTTCCCTACCTCTGTTATACCCTCATGTCATTTACATTATGCACAATTCTGCAGTACAAAACTTTCTAAAAAAACCCAATAAAATGATTTGCTAAACAAAAATCCCAGTAACAACAATCACCAGGACAAATAGAAAGTGAACCTCCATGGCCCTGGCAGCAACAAAAACCTTTACCGAAACCCCAACTGTATCAGAAACAAAAAGAAAAAAGAAAGTTTGGGCTTTAGATATGCTCTAGCTATCATTACAGCAAATTATTATTGCTTTAACAGTTGAATTATTTTCTCACTGATACATTGATGACATTGCCAATTATCAAAAATGCAAAAATATGCCAATGTATGTAGTTTTAATAAAGATTTTAGGTTAAAACATTTACTGATAGGTAGGTATTAACAATGATATCCTGATCACAAATTTCCAACAAACATGTTAATATCACCCAGATATGGAAAATGCAGCAAGAACAAAGCGGACACAGTAGTCATTTTGGGTAACCACAACGCTCCATTATTTAACTGCTTCCCGTCTGCCTGTTTGGCACGGGTGCGCAGAATCCTGTAAATATACATGAGTTTGCTTTTTCTGGGTAGGGGGTGCACACGAGCCACGTGCGCACCCTATCCGCGCCGCTGTTCGCAGCTGTCAATTACCTAGTAAAACACACCCAGTGACACCAAGTCAGTTCCCCTCAGTGTCAGAATGCCCGCCGCATTCTCACTATAAGTCCCAACTATAAGTTGCTGATTGCAGCCATTACTATTAAAAAAAACAAAACAAAATTCCAGTATCTATATCGCCATTTGCAAACGCTAAAACTTTCACGTAAACAAATTAATTTATGCATATTGGGATTTTTTTAGCAAGGACATGTAGCAGAATATATTTTAGCCTAAATTTATGAAGAAATTTGATTTTTTTAATTCTTTTACTGGACATGTTTCATAGCAAAAAAAATCAAAAATATAGTTTTTTTCTCAAAATTGTCAGTCTTTTTTTATCATAGTGCAAAAAATAGAAAATGCACAGGCAATCAAATACCACCGAAAGGAAGCCCAATTCATGGAATAAAACGACGTAAATATAATTTGGATGCAGTATTGCATGATCGTGCAATTGTCAGTTAAAGTAACCCAGCGCCGTAATGCAAAAAATGGCCTGGTCAGGAAGGGGGGTAAATCCTCAGAAGGGCAAGTGGTTAATATGGTGCGTAATATTCTGTGGTCCCAACAAAGCAGTGCATGAAATCCATATTAGAAATACTTTGGTGTAAATGGTCCTTTAGGCACAGATAATATGTCACATTTATTTACAAGGGATGCTATTTTGATTTGAATTTTGTTATCTTGTAGTAAATTGGTTGCAAACATATTGTATAAGTTATACGTGGTAGGTAACATCAGGGGTTGTCACCTTCATGTCATATCACCCACAAAGCAACCAAGGGCCTACTAGGTGTCCAAGGATCCATATTTTATTGCCCCCGTCACAGGTCAGCTCACCTGAAACACCTATACACAGCAAACCTCTCTCCTTTCTCCACATAGCACCATTGTTTGTTTTTCCTCTGACAGCATGTAGGGTCATAGCCTGTGTTTCAAAAACTGTGGAATGGGGATGGAGCACAGCACACATGTTGTCATCCACTTTCAGTTTCCTCTTCAGCATTAGCAGCAAGTGGTGTCCCTAGTTACTTAATAGCTGGTATGAATGATGCAGTACATTAGATCAACACAACAAGGACAGTGATTGATTCTACCAGTCCTGTAAAGAGGTAGTCTTGTTTAGTGTATACTGAGCTCATGATTTATTCAGGGTATACAGAACTGTAATGTGCCTGCAGTAACTGGAAAACATGAAGCTGCAAATATAGAAGTTGTTAGGCCCCTTTTCACACAAGTGGACCGATGGGGTCCACCTGTCCATTTTTCAGGAGGACCCGATCGCTCCACCCATAGACCTGTATGGACCTTCCGGGTGTCAGCGGATAATAGTCCACTGACACCCGCTGTCATCCAATCTGATCCTGTACGCCAAAAACAGACGGATGGGGATCCATTCCTCATCTGCCCATCGGATCGGATGACAACCAGGTGCAAATAGACAGGTGGTCCGTTTCCATCCGACCGTCCCATTGAAATCAGCGGGCAGTGTCTGTTCTGCAGCAACAGTTCAGACAGAGACCTGTCATCCGCCTGCTCAGCGGGGATCAGAGGAGAGATCACGCTGAAGGATCCGCCCTGTCTGAAAGGGGCCTTAATCACTTCTATACTGGACACTTTTACCCCCTTCCTGGCCAGGCCAATTTTCAGCTGTAAGTGTTGTCGTACTTTGAATGACAATTGCGTGGTCATGCAACACTGTACCCATAAAAAAAAATGTAACATTTTTTCACACAATTAGAGATTTCTTGTGGTGGTATTTAACCACCACTGAGTTTTTTATTTTTTTTTGCTAGTAAACAAAAAAAAAACCTGAAACTTTTGAAAAAAACCTAATTTTTCTTGGTTTTTGTTATACAATTTTGCAAATAAATAACATTTCTTCATAAATTTAGGTCAAAATGTATTCTGCTACATTTCTTTGGTGAAAATACCCCAAATTAGTGTATATTATTTAGTCTGTAGGGTCCAGTTATAGAGTCCACAAACCATGGTATATATATCTGACAATCGATCAATCAATTTACTGACGGCCAGGCTCATTTCTTGAGGCTCGAAAACACCAGGATAGTCCAAATACCCCCAAAATTACCCATTTTTGGAAAATAGACAGTCCAAGGTATTTTTTAAGAGGCATGGTGAGTTTTTTGGAGGTTATAATCTTTGTTACAATTTTTTGGAAAATGTAGAAATTAAAAAAAAAAAAAAATCACAATTTATTTTTTTTACATATTGTCACCAGTCCAGTACAGCATGATTATATAACTGGTGTGATGGTCATCAGGAAAACTGACTGGTGACAGTATGTAAAAAAAAATTAAAATAATAATTTAATTTTTATTTTTTTTTCACATTTTTCTATTATTTTTTATTACATCATTTTTTCTTTTTTTTTTTACTATTTTTTTTCAACACACTGTGACCAACGCAATACAATGTTACCATAGTAACATTGAACTACTCTGGGCAAGTGATCAGGATTTTTTTTTTTTTTTACACATTATGATTGCTAATACCGATGTATTTTGATATTTGCAATCATTGTTACTGAATTAAACTGATTCATTCAGTCTTTTGTTGTTATTAGCTGTGACTGGGCAAAGCTCATCACATGATACAGATGGGCTGTGATTGGCCCTTGGCCCTGTCTGTACCATGTGACCACTTTGATCAATCACAGCTAACAACACAATTGTATACAATGAATGGCATGACAGGAAGCCATCCATTGTATACAATCGACATGTGATCTGCTGTGATTGGTCACAGCGGTCACATGACACTGGCAACAGGCCATTGCAGTGATATGTCATTGGCTGAAGAAAATATTTTAAAAAAATATAGATTTTTGTAACATATAAAAAAGTCATTTTAACATATATTTTTACATATATTTGTAAATGCATTCCAAAAATGTAGATTTGTATTTTTAAAGACATGCAGTATATTTGAAATGTATTTTAAAAAATATTTTCCATATATTTTGTATTAAAAACACATTTCAACATGCAGTATATATATAATATATATATATATATATATATATATATATATATAAAAATATATAGATATATAGAATATATTTTGAAATATATTGAATATGGACAAAATTGTAGCATTTCAGATATATGGCCATATATTTGGGAACAACATTTTTTTAAATATATTAAAATATATTTTTTTTTTCCATATGGGGTGGAAGTTCTCTACAGATATGTCAATAGCAAATTGAGAGTTGCTTACTCCATAGGCACTTCAAGAAGCAGGTGATAGGTGGTGGAGGAGGCAGTACATCTGGACATGGAGTGATGGAAAATCCCATTCATTTGTATGAGGGTAAAAAAGATGGGCTTTTAATCATAAATACAGTGGTGTATAACTAACACTAATCCACAAGGGTACCTGTTAAAGTCACATTGTGATCTAACCCCTTTCCAACAGTTACGCAGAATAAGCAGTTTAGCATTTTATTTGAACTCATAAATATTAGTTTACAGAACACATACTACTTTTCACCATTTGAATCAGTTCAGGTATTTACTTTATTATTTTATTATTGTAATTATTTTTATACATTAGGCTGCTCTAACAGCACAGTCCTTGACTTTAACTCAGACCTTCCTCCACGAGGCATTTTTTACCCATTAGTGCCATATAAATAATGGCTGTAGAAAGTAATTTATATAGCAAATATTAAAAATAATTATAAAGCACCTCGGCAGCCCTTTCTGTGTAAGAAACCACTCATTCTTTTCTTTTGAATAGGTATGGACTTAATTTACCTTAACTCTTAACATCTTTCACATTACATTAGTTTCACTGTACAAAGTGTTTTATTTGAAAAAAGATCGAGCAGTAAAACTATTTCCAACTCACTTTAAAAACTTTATTACATTGTTATTTTACTTTTTACTTTTTACGATGCTTCTAAAACAAAAAGGTTACAGTTTAGTTTGTGGTATATAATACTTTGAATATGTACAGTATCTAATTTTGAACTGAATTTTGATGGCATTTGTTGACCTCAGGCGTATATTTGCACAAGCTACCTACTAATAATTTTAGCATAATTTGGCATGCATACTGTAAGTTCAAAGGGGTTAGTGGAACCTACCTCTCATATTATAATAGGTTGCCCCAAGGCTGAGATTGCTGACATTGAGGAGCCAGATGCGATACAGAGTCCCCCTGTCATCCGGAAATCATGTAAGTGGGTTCCATTAACCCCATCTGTCTTTCTTTTTGACACTTAAAGTATAATTCTACTTAATTAACTGAACTACTCAAGCAATGTCATAATACTATAATCCTGTAGCATTTATGTGTACAAAATGCTTTAAGAAATCTCATTTCTTGCTGATGTATTAGACATTTCCCAGCAGTAATTTAGAACACTGGGACTGATTAGTTGACTGTAACAGACAAACCCTCCCACTTGGCATGTAGTAAGCTGAAAGTAAGTGAAATGTAGTTTTGTATGAGTCAGCTAAAAAGTTTACTGAAATCTGTTAAAGCTTCATCCCAAGTGTTCCAAATTCTAGTCCCACGCCAAGAAACATAGGAGCAGGTTATCCAATCTCCACCCAAATTGGCCTTGTGTGCTTTTGACTAGTCCATGAATTGATGTAACAGGTTCAATGCTTGCTATAAAAGCAGTAGAGAATATATTGGTTCTGCATAAATAACCTTTGGAATTAACTGGTTTTGTGTTTTTAATTTGCCATAAAATGTGATCTGATCCTGGTCACAACAATTGACAAACACAATGTACATAAGCTGATAACACACACAATTCTAATTTCTAATGTCTTTATTTAACACACCTATTAGCACTTTAGCGGCCAGAGCTGTTTTTGCATTTTTTTTGCACACGTTTAAGAAATCATTTTAGACCTGACGATTACACAAAACCCCCAAACATTATATATTTTCTGAAAGCAGACACCCTACAGAATAAAACAATAAAACAAACCCACATTTGTCTAAAGTATAAAAGCCAAGGTTGCACCGAGTAAATAGATACCCAACATGTCAAACCTTAAATTTGTGCGCGCCTATGAAATGGCGACAAACTTCAGTACCAGGGGCGAACTGACCATTTGGAAACTCGGCACTGCCCGAGGGCCCGGGGTCAGTAGGGGCCCCATGAGATGCCCCTGGTACCTTTTTCATAGGCTTTTTTGAGTTTGGGCAAGGACATAGGGGCCCCATGATCCCCTATTTCCCGGGGGCCCCATGAGCTGTCAGTCCGTCCCTGTTCAGTACCTTATATTTTATATAGGTGGCGCTTCAAAAGCCCCTATAGATCGTCATTTTAGCATTATAGAGGAGGTCTTGTCCTAGAATTATTGCTCTCACTCTGGCATGCGCGGCAATATGTAACATGTGTATCACAACCAACGTTTTCACGTGTAGGCACCACGATGTGTGCATTTATGTTCATATGTACGTGTATGTGGGGGTGTGGGTCCTTAAATTTTTATTTGGTGGGGATGTAATGTGCTTGGGTGTAACTTTATTTTTTTGCAATAAAAAAAAAAATCTTTTACGTGACTTTTTGTTTCATCACATAGGGAACACAAAGACCCCTATGTGATGATTTTTAAGTGACGTGTTCTCTTTATTGACACATGCTGGGTCTGAAAGACTCTGGGCTCCACTGGATGTATTGCAGTGCAATACATCTCTCCCTGGCTATTTGGAGAAGCCGACAGCCGTGACTTGGAAATGAAGTCATATACATCACCTTCCAGGTCACAGAAAGAAGGGGAGGAGAGCAAATGCTCTACTCTCTCCCCTCCACCTGCTGGCACCCGCCATGGTGCTCTCCGGGCCCGCAGATGGGGAAGCTGGGCCCGGATACAGGCAAAGCGAGCATGAGGGGGGGCTGTGGAAGTAATCAGGCGAGAGCTCAGCCACCCGACAGTTAGGAGTCTGTCTGCCAGGTCTATACACAATCCTGGTGGCTGCAGTGTGTATAAAACCCCCTGCTGTCAGGTCCATACAATGTACGGATCTGGCAGCAAAAGGGTTAAACATTCACAGCATTAGAGGAAAAAGTAAGTGAACCATTGGAGTTAATAGTTGGTTGAACCTGTTTGGTAACAATTACTTCAAGCAAGCTCTTTTGGTGGCTCTGGCTCAGACCTGCACAATGTCCTGGAGGAATTTTTTTACCATTCCTTTTTACTGCTTTAGCGCAGACACATTTGTAGGATGTCTGGTGTGAATGGCTCTCTTGAGGTCATTGCACAGCATCTCTATGGGTTAAGGTCTGAGCTCTGACTGGGTCAATACAAAAACCGCATTTTCTTTTTTCTGAAGCCAGTCTGTGGTGGATTTACTTCAATGCTCAGGGTCATTGTCCTGCTGCATCACCAAACTTCTACTAAGCTTCAGCTGGTGGACAGTCACTTATTGCGTAGTATATTCTGGGAATTCATTTTCCCCTCAATGATGGCAAATGGTCCAGGCCATAAGGCAGCCAAGCAACCCCAAATCATTATGTTCCCTCCACCATGCTTCACCATTGGGATGATGTTTTGATGTTGGTAAGCTGTGCCCTTTTTGCAGCATACATACTGAGTATTCTTCCCAAGCAAATCAAATTTTGTTTGATCAGTCCACAAAACATTTTCCAAGTAGCATTGTGGTTTGTTATGATGTTATTTGGCAAATGTCAGAGCAGATTCTTCTGTGGTGTTCTGTCATGGACACCCTGCCCGTTCAAAGACTTACATATGAATAGGGATGTTTGCCAGTTCTAGTGGTGTCTTCAAGCTTTTGGCTGTTACTCATGGGTTCTTCTTTACCTCACCGAGGATTCTGCCATGTGCCTTGGAAGTAATCTTGGCTGGGTGTCCACTTATAGGAAAAGTATCTACAGTACTAAAGTATCTCCATTCATAGACAATTTGTCTAACTGTCAACTGATGGATACCTAAACTCTTTGAGATTGCTTTGTATCTCTTTCTAGCCTTATGCAGATCAACTACTCTTGATCAAATGTCTTTGGAGAACTCCTTTTTTATGAAGCATGGTTCACATCAGCTGATGCTTATGAACAGCAATCTTAAGTTTGAGTACCTTTTATCAATTAAAGTAGCTCCAAACCACATCTCCAAACTCGTTTAATTAATTGGACTCCGGAGGAGCAAACTACTGACTCCAATTTGCTTTCATTGAAGTAATTAGTCAAAGTGATCACTTACTTTTTCCTCCAGCACTGTGAATGTTTAATGGGTGTTTTCAATAAAGACATGAGAAATGTATATTGTCTGTGTTTTATCAGCTTAAAGCAGAGTTTCACCCAAAAGTGAAAGCTCTGCTTGTTTGCCTCCACCCCCCTCCACTGCCATATTTGACACCTTTTGGGGGGGAGCGGGCACCTGGTTTTCACAGGTACCTGCTCCCACTTCCGACTCATTTCGCCACAGCGAAGTGAGCCGGAAGTTCAGCCCCCTTCTTCCTCCCAGTCTCCTGGTAGCTTTCATAGATCCCAGAAGACTGCTGGACCAATCAGGATGCACAGCACGACTCGCGCATGCGCAGTGGGCACCCAACTGAGAAGCTGCAAGCTGTCACAGCCTGGTGCCCACAGCTGAGATGCTGGCACTGTGAAGAGAAGAAGGAGAGAAGGGACGGCGTGGGTGAGTACATCGCTGTACCCTGGGACAGGTAAGTGTGCATTTATTAAAAGTCAGCAGCTACAGTTTTTGTAGCTGATGACTTTTAATAAACACAAAAATGTCTGGAACTCCACTTTAAAGCACAATGCATTTGTCTATTGTGACCTAGATGAGGATCATATCGCACTTTATGGCAAATTACTGCAGAAAACCAGTTAATTCCAAGGTATTCACAAACCTTTTCTTGTCACTGTATTTAAACAATATTGGGGGCTATTTACTAAAACTGGCGAGTGCAAACTCTGGTGAAACTCTGCAGAAAACCAATCAGCTTCCAGGTTTATTGCCAAAGCTTAAAGTGCTACTAAAGTCATTTTTAAAAAAATAATAAACATGTCATATTTGTCTGCTATGTGCAGTGGTTTGCACTGAACAGCCCTGATCCTCCTTGTCTCGGGTCCCCCACTGGTGCTCCTGGCCCCTCCCTCTTGCTCGGTGCGCTTATAGCAAACAGCTTACTATTGGGGCACCCAAGCAGGCTTGCTCCCGAGCAACTGCTCTGAAAAGACAAAATGGTTGGCTGCACAGACAGCAGTGTAGTAGATGAAATCCTTTATTGAAATCCTTTACATACAATGTGATAAAAACATGATAGCTCCAAGACTGGACAGAGGAACAGTAGACGCGTTTCACATGAACACGTGCTTAGTCATTACTCAGCGTGTCCATTTACACACAGAGCGATGCTCTGCCCCATTCTGCTTTTTTTTCAATGGCTCTCTGGCTGTCACTGACAGATTGACAGGAATCCCAGGTGACATTACTGACAAACTTTGGTCACTGGGAAGGAGCCTTTTACCTCAATATTGGGACTATAGTGCTTAATGTGGGGAGTAAGGTACCCCCAATATTGAAATATGTGGCCTAGGAAATTTAGGGGATCCCAAGGTATCTATCATAAAATGACCTCTTATGATCAATGATGTCACAAGGGATCCACTGGAATTACCTGAGTAATATAATGTTTAAAAATTAGAGTGACAGAGCTCATTTATTTAAAAAAAGGGAACAAACATTATGTGGTTCCCCTTAATATCCCAACCAGATCCTTATTCAGGCATGCAGACTGAGCTCAAGAAGGGAGAGCAGCAGGTGTGTACTTACCCACTTCCTGGACCAAACCAGACCACATGCCCTTCAACATTGGGCGGGGCTCCTTGTAAGGGAAGGCGGAAAGTTACTTCCCACCCCAGCAAAGTACCCTTTGTTCAATGTTAATTGATAAGGTCTTCTACCTTACTGCCTAGTAAATGCGATGAGAAAATCGGACGAAAAACACCTCTTTTGAATCGATTGTCTGATAATCTGATCATGAGAATTGTTCTTGTACAATGACAGAACAAACTATTTTCGTTCAATCAGTACAGTATTCGCCCTTAAAAAATCGAGTGACCAAGATTACGCATGCTTGGAAACGAAAGAACACATTGCAATACAATACAATACATTACATCACTTCTGAAGTTGTATTCTGTCTTACGAGAATATTCATAACTTCAGTAACCTCTTCATTTTTGATATGAGAATAGCATGCAAAAAAAAAACCCCTGGATGATCATTCACCTGATATTCTCATCTTGTGTATGAAGCTTACCTCCAGTGCCCCAAGAAGGAGGTGAGGATAATATGAGAGCCCCATTACTGGCTCTTCTAAACCAACTTCTAAGCCAGCTGAACTAAGTTTAAAGGCCTTTGCAGTGTATTATCTTTACAGTAATTTCTGCATTAGTTCAAATGGGTCCAAGAACTGCGAACAAGCAGGGCTTGCCTCATATCTATGGTAGACCAGGACCCAAACCTCATCCCTATCTTTAAACACTGAGTTTAGAATTAACAGTCTTGGAGGTATTTTACGTATACTGCATTTCAGTATGGGCAGTATATAATGACCACTTCCAACTCTGAAATCAGATGAAAATGAATGCATTGCTCTTTGCCTCTGTAACAATCAGAGAGGCTTGCATGCCTCCTGACCTTCATGGCTCTTCAGACCCTTCAGGGCTCTTTCCCAGCACAACAACTGTAATGTAACAATTGTAATGTGTGTTATAACCTGCCTATGGGGGAAGAGACATATCTTCAACTGTTTGTTAGAGCCAGTCCTAGTTTTCTCACCCTCCCTGCTCAAAAAAAAATTATTGAGTGGTCCATTAATTGGAGAACAGCCTATATGAAACAATATTGTATTTCTCCAGATCAGCTGACTGAACATCTCTTACCTCTTCTCTTGTTGAACTCCAGCTTGACCATTCAGTCCTGTACAGTTATGTAGGATCTTTTCCTATACTGAAATTGCTAACTCTGATTTTACCATGCACAATGAGCTTCTCACAGAGAAGCGCATAGACCCAATAAATATATCATTGGGCTTAAAATAAAGTATTTAGTAAAAATAAAAAGTTTGGTAAAAAAAAAAAACAGTCTTTTAATGGGGCATGCCAGGGGTGTAAGAAACCAGGGAAGGAAAAATATAAGCAGAATAAACTTAAACTTTGCTGTGATCTTGTAATAATTGTTAGACATCTGACCAAGTACCCGGTAGTATATTGATTTGCTTTACTCTGTTGTTACAAAATATGCTCACTTTTGTCTTTTGCTATCATATCTGCTTCTGTAGACTGCAGTGACACAATTTCTCAAGTTAATGCCATGAAAATATTGAAGCGCTATGGGAGCTCTGCTGGCCTTTGGACGAAGGACCCCATAGGTAATTCAGAGAGAGTTTATGTCCTTGATGGTGCTGGCAATGACACAGTGTTTGTGTTTCCCCGTATGAAAGAATTCACTCTTTCTACTTCAACACGCAAAGCAGCTCGGATCAAACTTCCTTTTCCATGGGTTGGCACTGGCCATATTGTTTATGGAGGCAACCTTTATTATGTTCGACAAGGAGAGGAATTCCAAGTCATCAAATTCAACTTGGCAAACAAAACAGTGGTTGATAGCGCTGTGCTACCAATTGAAGACCAAGTACCAGTTTATGGTTTATCCAAGCATAACTTCATAGATATAGCAGCCGATGAAGAAGGTCTATGGGTCATCTACGCTACTAGGGACAATGAGAAAAACATATGCTTAGCCAAACTGGACTCAAACAGCCTTGGCATTGAGCAGATGTGGGATACTCCATGTCCGATAGAAAATGCAGAAAGTGCTTTTGTGGTTTGTGGTACCCTTTATGTGGTGTATAACACCAAACTCCCAAGTCGCTCTCGTATACAGTGTATCTTTGATGTCAGTGGCACCATATCCAGTGAAAATGTGCCAGTTGTTTACTTTCCTAAAAGATATGGATCCCATTCAAGTATGAAGTATAATCCTAAGGACCGTCAGATCTATGCTTGGGATGATGGTTACCAGATCATATACAAACTGAGCATGAAACCCAAAGATGAATTGTATTAGAAAAATCAGAATGTATTGTTCTTTAATGTAGCCATTGTCATTTAAAGGATGCTAACATGTATTGGGTATGACACATTGTGCTCTATTAACAAATAAAAAAAATCGAATTTAGGTAACACTGCATGTTTAAAAACACCAGTGCTGCTTTATATGTGTTACCCTGTACTTTGTATTCTGACATCAAAATCACTGAACTTTCAAAGTCTATACAGTAAATGAGTCAAACTGTACAATATTCAAGCTACAAATTAGGAGTGAAAAGCCACCTGTTCTGAGCCTTGTTCCTGTTTATTTAAATTATCGATTTAATCTTTTAACAAATTGAGGTTTTTCTTTCCTGGAGGAGCAGAATGAAGACATTGCAGCATGACTTATAACTTACACCATGTTTATTGGGCACTGTGATATATCATATGCACAATCGTAATACAGTTGTCAGATTTAGAGCTTAAGCTTACCGATTTTTTTTCTTCTTTTAAATCAGCACCAGGAACAGTACTTACATTGAATGAAAAGTGTCTTTCATGCTGGTGGCTGCTATGCTTATAGAAATATTCATTCCTCTGCCTACCAGGATACCCCCACGGCTGTGATCTTCCGATGCTGCAGTGGGCAATGTAAGCCACTGGACCTGTCACGGACACTTATCAAAAGTGCCAGCTATACCCGCCGTTTCAGCCCTCTCCTCCATTCATAAAAGCCATGCTACCACTTCCCACAATGAAAAGCACTCCATAAATTGAGGCTGTAGACTTTTTACACAATAACTGTCGTAGCACCATTTTCATTGCAGAAAATAATAGTACTGCTTTTATGGATGGAGTGGAGGGGGGCTCAAAGGGCAGGAAAAGTCACTTTTTTTCACTTTTGATAATTGTCTGTGACAGGTCCAGCAGGTTATAATACCCCACAGCAGAATGAGAATTTCAATGAACATAGCAGCCACCAGCACAAGGGGCACTTTTATTTAATGTAATTACCATCCCTGGTGCTGATTTAAAAACTTTCAATTTAATTAAGCAATCAATTTAGAAACATGTATTGGGGAAGATAAATCATGTTTGGATGAAGCTACATTTCTTCTAAGAATAAGTACAGGAGGACAGGGCATTTACTGGCTGTGAATCAGTACTCAGTCAATAGCCTCATATAAATTGTTAGTATAATTTAGAATAGACATACTAATCTTCTGACACTAATTTCCTGAATACTTTCTTGATTTCAGCTCTCATGCCGTTATCCTGCATACCATTTTCATTAGTGCCTAATTTGACACTTGCCCACTTTTAAATGTGCATTTGTTAAAACTACCCAAGCATTGGCATTTAAGTTTTTTTGAGGTCTGGTCTGGTGAAGGGCAATTTGACACACTCCTAGAGTCATTCAGTTGGCTGTCTGTGTCACCAGATTGGACAATTATATTTTTGGTTTAGGCTAGGTTGCTAGCCTATATTGATAAAAATAGTGTTCGTTTCGATCAGAAAGAATTCTGTTTATTTTAATAACTTCTTTAAGGCCTCTTTGACATGGACAGACTGATTGGGTCCTCTGTCCATTTTTCAGGCGGACCCCAGTGGACCATCATTGTTCTCTATGGGGAGGTGGATGTAAACGGACATGTGTCCGTTTACAGTTCACATGCATTTGATCAGATCCGCAAAAAAAAGAAGGATAGGGGATCTGTTTTCCATCCATCTAGCGGATCGGATGACAGTCGGATGTAAATGGACAGGTGTTCGTCTATTCGGTTCATTTACATTCGACTGCTCTTTAGAGAACAGCGGTCTATGTAAGTGTCCGCTCTGCACAAGCGGACCTGCCATCCATTGGCTCAGCAGGGATCAGCGGACAAATCCCCCGCTGAGCAGACAGATCAGCTTGACAGAGTCCGCCCATAAGAAAGGGGCCTAAAGCAGAGGCTGTTTTGTTATTCAATATCGTCACTCATCACACTTCGTCATTAGCCCACAATCCCAAGACTGTGGATAAGGGTGACTGAAGGACTAGAGTGGATACAGTTTGTCCTAATTCTGAAGGTCAAATAAACTACCAATTTAAACAAGTAGTCTCACCTCCATTTTTATTGATGTTTTGTTCCTCAAGGCCTTCCAACAACACAGCTAGCAAGGAGATGGCTGCTTTGACAGACAGCACTTTTCTCCATCTCTAGCATTTGGCTGCTTGCCTGGAACATTTTAGCTGCTGGCAAGCTTCCCTCCCCCTGCATTCCTTGGGAGATGCTTGTCTCCCTCCCCAACTGTCCGACAATTCAGCTAGCAAGCACTTGTCTGAGGCAAGCGTCTTCCAAAGAAGAAGTGGGTTTGTCAGCTAAAATGTTCCAGGTAAGTGGGAAAGTGCTTGGAGATGGAGAAAAGTCCAAAGACATGCTGGTAGGTTAATTGGCTCCTGTCTAAATTGGCCCTAGTATGTGTATATATGAATGTGAGTTCGGGACCTTAGATTGTACACCCCTTGAGGGTTAGGGACTGATGTGAATGTACAATATATGTACAGTATGTAAATGAATATAAAGCCAATGCTTTTATTTTTACCTTAATGCATTTTCTGCATTAAGGTAAAAAATTGTCCCACTATTATTATTATACAGGATTTATATAGCGCCGACAGTTGGCTCAGCGCTTTACATTATGGTGGGAGACAGTACACGAGAAAGTATAGTAACAATACGATTCAATACCCTGCTCCTTGGAGCTTACAACCTAGGAGGGAGGGGATAGTGGTATAGGAGGAAATAGCTGTGGGGGATGGAGTGGTAGGAAGAATAGAGGAGTTCAGTATTAGCTGAGGGCGGGGTAGGCTTCCCTGAAGAGATAGGTTTTCAGAGTGCGCCTAAAGGTGAGCAGACTAGGTGATAGTCTGATGGATTGGGCTAGGGAGTTCCAGAGGATGGGGGAAGCCCTGGAGAAGTCCTGGAGACGAGCATGGGAGGAGGAGACAAGGGAGCTAGAGAGTAGGACACTACCTGTTCCTTTCCCCACTTTCCCTAAATACTTACCGGAGCTGTGCCTATTTGCAGCAGTGCTTTTCTCTGTTCCTCTTCTCACAAGATAGACTGAGAGCTGTGGGGGTGGGGCTGAATCACACTGTGTGTCTATGGACGCACACAGCCTGGCTCGGGAGCTCGCACGCACGCATGTGTGTCTCCATAGCAAGAGACTTGCTATGGGGGTAAACAGAGACGAGGAAGTGTGGAGAACACTGTCGGGGGACCCTGGAAGAGGAGGCTTGGGGGCTGCTCTGAACAATATCATTGCACAGGGAGGGTAAGTATAACATTTTTTTTTATTTCAGGAAACATGGGAGCCCTTGCAATCACTTTAAATTTATTTACACTTTTGCAATCAAATTTCAGAAAACCCCACTATACTGTATGTTTGTTATATGTTCCTATTTACACAGCATACCTAAAAGAAATTATTTCTTTCTTTCTGATGTTTGGAGGAGAAGTTGTCATGGCTGACTGCAAGCATTTCTCAGCTAGCTCAGAATGATCTGTTCCAATAGCTGTGCCAGAGACTGGGTAAGTAGTAGTTCACAATGGAAAATCCTAGCTCCTAAACCTTTAGCCACCTTTGTAAAGAGAGTAAAGGGTTTATTTACTAAAGCTGGAGAGTGCAAAATCAGGCACACTTCTGCATAGAGAACGTTCAGCTACCAGGTTTTATTGCCAAAGCTTAATTGAACAAACTAAAGTTAGAAGCTGATTGGCTACCATGCACAACTGCACCAGATTCTGAGTGCTCCAGCTTTAGTAAATCTCCCCTACTGTGTTCAAATCCAGTACAACTAATGAGGTGATATCTGCCTATACAGAACAGAGTTTAATTATACAATAGACCATAGTAGAATTTTTCCTTGCTAGAAGTTCCACAAAAGATCATCTCAAAAAAAGGTAAGCTGCAATTTTTAAACATTTTTAAGTTGTGCTATGTGAATAGGAACATATAACAAGTAGGCATTACCCAATTCTGCTGCAAAACCAGAAACACCTTTTTTAATATACAGCAACACACCAGGAGGACCCTGCATAGTTAAAACAGGTTAGTTTTTTTGCTGGAGAGCTTAAAATGTGCTGGGACTCTTTTGAACTGTTTTGTATAATGCCCTGTTTTTGTATGCCTTTTCCTGTTTGCTAGTTTCAAATAGATCGGAGGCTAGCTGCTGCTATCTCTCATTTAAAAAAAAAAATTCTGCCATCTCTGTATTTTTTTTTAATCTTTATTTTTGCATGCCTTGCTGTTTTTTCTAATTCTTCCTCCCTTTCCTTGTTGTACTGGGCATGGAAGCAAGGGAAATATCACAAATAGATAGCAATGGAACAAGACAATGGTTCTAATCTGGTCCCCTAAAGGAACATTTTGGCTGCATACACTAACATCCTGTATTTCATAGTGATTCCAACTTTGAAATTTCTACATCTGCCTTCCTAGCTCTAACCATTAATGATAGTATCCTCTAAATCAGGCACTTAGCTCTTAAAGTGAAACTGAACTCAAAAAGAGAATATTTGCTATGTTAAGGAGAATACTTCCTGGTATGTGGGGGACTCTTGAGTCTACTGAATCATAACTGTATATCTGTAATATATAATCTAAAGTACTGCTGCCTGACTGGTAGTCTGCTCATGGTTTTCCTTGTTGGAGGCTGTGACATAAGGAAAGCCTTGACTCTACCAAGATGGCCATCCCTACAGAGAAACAGGTAACTCAGTAATGAAGAAAGATCAGCTGCAGGTAGATCACAGGCAATACCAGTGACTAGTCCTTTGGCCTCTGCCAAAGATAATTTCCTTTTTAATTGTCCCCTATTCTGAACACTTGAGGCTTACCCATCCCCTAAGATAGTACATTAACACTTAGCCCCCCCAAATGCAACTCCCTAAAAAAACCTAAACCTAAACCAGAAATTAAATAAAATACATGGATCCAAGGGCTGGATCTAGCCTGTCTGCTCTGGGTTTGCAAAGTATCAAGACGGTT